AAAGTTATTTTACTGCTGAACAGTAGTCCCGTGAAATTAATCCAACAGCACTTTAACAGACAGCTTGACTATAACGGGGCGTAGGGCTCATTCTGACCAGGAAAAACGAAAAGACATTTGATTAAAAAAGGTGTCCCATCGCCAACTGACGTTCTAGCAACAGTTCTGATCTGTTAAGCCCTGGGAGACGAGCAGAGCCAACCCAAGGGACTGGAAAAGCGTGCTCTTACACCAGAGGGCACACCACCACCAGGAGAGGAGCTGGCAAAGCACAGTCGCAGCATTACATACCCTGAGCATTCACTTAGTGCTTCCAGCAAGGGGGCTCATCGCTTTCTGTTTACACGCAGACAGGAGAACTTCCTATGGATAACTCCCGCTTTATTTTTCCCTCAGAAAAAGTGCTACTGTTGGTTTTATAGCTTATTCTAACAGCAACAGAAAATTTAAAGTATTAACTGAAACCCCAGTTTAAGCTTGTGAGACAAATCATGGAACATTCACTGGCCCAGAACAGGGGTGATGCCACCTCTCTGTACCAGGGCTACCTGGTGCTATGCTCACTGCAGTTATATTCAGTCTGACCACACCTAAACTCAGAACTGCTGTTATCCCCTCCTGGTGCTTTGCATTTTTCTGCACCCTTGCTCTCCTAAGAGGCAGAATCGGCTTATCACTGTAGAGCAAATTCATTTGTGTAATTATATTCCTATTAAGATATTTTAACTAGTGATTAGCTCGTTGAAAATCTGACACAGAATGTAGCATACTCACATGGCTACATCAAAGTTTTCTTCATCAGAAGTCTCCATCGCGACTGCATAACCAGACTGGAGGAGGCAATCGGCTTTATCGCTGCAGTTAGTGGTTGTTTCTTCTTTTTGGACAAAGCACTAAGGGATGACATGGCATTAATGTCAATTGTTAAGTTACCATGCACTTCTCAAATCAGGAGAGAATCTTAAATTTTTAGACACAGGAATTTCAAAATCATGTTCTTCCAAAGTTACTGCTACTTCTTTTCCCTAATGACTCAAATTCCGAAGGAACTTTCTCCCCCTACTCAGAGAACAGGCTCAAAGCCGCACACACCTGCGGCCCGTCTCTACAAGGGGGTTGTAGGTGACCCTTACACCTTTTCTCCTGAAGCATCCATAACCGACTATTATAAAGACACAAAAAAATGAAGCCAGGCGAGATGAAGATGCCACCGCAGTACAGCGTGTCCCAGAGAGCGGCCAGATGCGGTATCCAGGGGCTGCTCTGTCCTAGCCAAACCCTCGGCCCGTGGCGGTGAGCAGCTACAGACCCCTCACACAGGACGGAGCACACAGCACCCCAGGGACACCGAGACGGGTCAGTGCAGCAGCCAGCTGGCTTCTGGTGCGTGCCAGGGCCACCCTGGGCTGTACCCAACGCCGGCCTTCGGAGCAGCCGGCTGAGGGTGGGCGCCAGCCCTCTGGCATCGCCTCAGGGCACAAGGCCCCCGCCTACTCATCCTCCCGCTCCAAGGGGCGCTCAGGTGAGCCGCCCTCGTCAAGCCCTCCCTTCCCGAGGAACACGGGAGCCGGGCCCGTGTCACCTCGCCCCCGGCCCGGAGAAGAGCCCAGGGCCCGGCCCGGCACC